GAGGTCCGGATGCGCGCCGCCGCCGCCGTTGCGCGCGCCCTAACCTCGATGCGCCGTGGCACCCTCCCCCCGCTCCCCCCCGTCCTCTTCCTTGCGTGGGCCCGCCGCGTTCTATTTTCGTGGCGGATGCTTCCCGGCCGCGACTCTACTTGCTCGCGCGCGCGCGGGCGTGGCGCATAAAAGTCGGGGCCGCGGCGCGCCGCAATCTGCGGCAACCTTCCCCCCCCCCTCCCCCCGGAACTGGCAGCGCGCGAGGATGAGCAGCGGCGGCAGCAGCGGGATGGAGGGCAGGCACGCTCAAGGAGCTGGACGTGCTGTTGTCACCGCTGGCAGAGCGCAGGGGCGGCGGCGGCGGCGGCGGCAGCGGCGGCGGCAGCGGCGGCGGCGAAAGCGGCGCGCGTGGTGGTGCGGAGGGCGAGGGTGGCGCGGAGGGCGAGGGTGGCGCGGAACCGGGCAAGCGCGAGGAGGAGCCGCGAGAGGACGAAGGTGCAGGAGGCGCGGAAGACGACGTGGAGATGTGGAAGAGGGAGTACAGTTGTGAAATCGTTGCTTGTCATACCAACAGAGAGCGTATGTTGATATGGCTGACTCCCTTCTGTCTACAGTAAGGCTGGTCGTGTCTGTGGTCGTTGCGATGTATTCAGCACTTGGCTGGCGTGTTTCGGTCTGCCCTACCCTTCCCGGAAAGGTCAATTCCGGACAACTTTGGCGCCGCAGCCCTTGCACTCTCGTGACATCCCCGTGACGAATTCCGAGCTGACCAATGCAGAAAGCACACCTCTCGCTATCTCCTGGTGGGTTTTTGCGCCAAACTAGGGTCAGGAACTAAAACAACAAGCGTGACAAAACAAACTACCCGTTTCACAAAATTTTACGACAACGGTTAATTCCGGACAGCACATTCTTCGCCAGGACAGCCGAAACAATTTGCCCGACAATAGCTTTAGATATCTTCCAGCTTTCTCTTTGTGCTCGCCACTTCTTTCGACTTCCCCTACAACCCTCTGACCCTTTCAAGCGCACCTCAGAGCCTCTTGCCGTTGCCTTTTTGCGTCTTTTCGAAGCTTTTCCCTCAGTAGCCTGACGTTTTTGGTCCTTTAACCTCTTTCGCTCATCCTCGCGAGATTTCCTCTTCCTCAGAGCTGCCTCTTTCTTAGCATTACGCAGGCTCTCAGCCGCTTTTCGACGCTCATGATTTGCCAATTCTGCCACCTGTTAGGCATTTTCCCTGTCAAGACGACGCTGAATCATGAGTCCGACAGTCAAATGTTCAGCGGGAGCCCCGCAGTAGAGTCGCACGTTTTTTGGTGTTGTGTTGCTGCTCTTTGCAGTAGATGTCGATTGTGAAGACACAGTGTCCATTACGATGTTGTTAACCGTGCCTGAATTTTGCAGCAACATGCTTAAGCGCTGCAGTTTTAAAGAGGGCCCAAGTTCGCCGTTCATAATGCTGTCAACCTTCTCTACAGTCTCCAAATCCGGTGTGCGCTCCTTCGTGTGGGGAAATAAATCCGTGTTTTGAGGCACTGCTGGTCTCGAAACCGCCGCACCAAGTAATTTTTCGTCGCTGACAGCAGTCTGCTTCCGATCTAAAAACGTCTGAGCAAATCCTGGATTGAAAGGATACAGTCCAGTTCTGCTGAATGAATCCCGAACGCCTTGCGTTGTGATGCGTGAGAATGCGTAGACTCCGCATATAAGGTTAAACTGTACGCCTCGTGTTGACACCGTTTGAGATTTGTAGAATTCATCTCGTATCTCGCGAATAGCAACCTTGAACTCCTTGTTGACCATTTGGTCACAAGGTTGTAAAAAGTGAGATGTGTTAGCGGGTGAACACACAATTTCACAGTTGTTCTTTTCACAAACCTCGAGCCACTTCAAACCATTACGTGATGCGTGGCCATCAAGAGAAACAACATAGTGTTGGCTTGTGTTGACAAACTTTCGGACAAAATTATTGGGGTGTGTCATGTATGCGGCAAGTAGATCCATTTCCATCGATCCATTCCCACTGCACTTTACGACTTCGTCAGCCGGGAACCATCCATGGCATTGAAACGGATAGCAATCGCTTCCACTTTTGCCAAACATTTTTGGCAAAGGCTCCAGCCAACTTGACATGACATATTTTCCAGCCACTATGAAGAACGGTGGAGCGACTCGACCAGATGTGCAACAACGGCAGTTATGTGTTTGTCTACTCCTTGTGTCTTGGAAGAGGCTATGAAACCACCATGATGCGTATCGGAGGGACCAAACACTTTTTCACGCTTGCCGAATGTTGCATCCACCGCAGTTTCATCTATGTTCCAAACGCGATCCCCATCAAGCAGGATTCCGGGATGTTTGTCGTTAATAGTCTCTAATATTTCGAAGTAACGTGACACATGACCGAATAATTCTCTTTTCAGCTTTGCCTTGTCTTTGCATTCGTAATTTCGAAATGTTAGTTCTCGATGACGTGATCTACAAGATCGCACTGCATCGTAACTAGGGATGCCATTCTTCCAATTCACGCGGCCATCGGCAGCTATTCTAGCCATCATGGTCCTTAATGTTTCAACATCGGCAGCAAATTCACGTTGTGCAGCAAAAACAAGGCGCTGTGCTATCATTTTTTCCTCATCCTCTGTCAGAACCGTCCGTCTCCCTGGTTGTGACAGTTTCCTATCTGTCTCCTGGTAGCTGATACTTTCAGGATCTAATCTCCGGACCAGCTCTTTAAGTTCCCCAACAACTGACCTACTCAAACCTGTCGCTTTCGATATGGCACGCAACGATATTGTTGTGTCTCTCAAAAGCTGCACTGCGGCAGCTTTGCTCTTCATGCGCTTCGAAGCCTTCTCATTCTGCCTTTTGATCCGTTTTGTCTGCTGTCTCATTGAGAATGCCATTGCGGTGTGGCCAAAAGGTGACTTGGCGACTGTAAAAGACTATATAAGATGCTATCCCTAATTTTCATTGACGGAGACCGCTATAAATGCACCGCCCTCTCGACGAATCTACGTCACGCTCAGGGATCCCGCCTTTTCTGATTTTGAAAGCTACCAGCGCACTGTCCTTGCTGTTGTCTGCCCTTTGGCTATGTTTTGTGGCCCTTGCATTCATTGGTGATGGTTCACTGGACGCGGGTTTAATTTTGTCCGGAATTGACCATTGTCAGGAATTGACCTTTCCGGGAAGGGTACCCACTGCCCGGACTCTTTTTCTTTAGACTATCGTACTCTAGCTTCCCTATTAAGTACCTATCATTCTTCCCTCCTCTCGTCCTGCGATTCCCGTTTCTCTGCGCTCTTTCTTTTTGCGTTCGCTGCCTTTTGCACTCTCTTAGAGTGCCTCCATTCCCTGAGTTCTGCCTATGTGACCCCTCACTGAACGGCCACGGCGCATTGCGGCTGCGTCAATTGTGACACGTGCACTTTCAGTATGACCCCGTTTCATAATCGTAATGTGTAAAACGTGTTCAACCTGTATCTACCAGTTCACAAATACTATGCGCTAACACGTAGGCTGGTTCACAACAGTACAGTAGTGGGAACGGGGGCGTGGAAGAGTACTACTGGGCCAGTAACATGAATTACAGTAACAGCGAGGATAGTTTTCCGCGGAAACGTGTAACACGTGTTCCAGCAGAGTTGCAGCTGCCACTGTTGAATCGACAAACTCATACTGTAAAACCTCTTTATGATACATGGTCGTCTCTACTCACGATCCTACTTATTCGTCTCGCTGCTGCCTGTGATCGGACAGCTTATCGCGGTCAGTCTGTCACTGGGGGCCGCTTGTTTAACCTGTGCCGGCCACGATACTTTCCCTTTTTGTCAAGTGCTTTTCTCTCACACGACAACCGATTCCCCTTGCAGAGGCGGCGCCCTTAATTAGATTGAGTGACGGCGCCGACGTTCTGTAAACGGAGAGGGAAGGACGTTGTCGGATGGCAGAGACTTGGCAGGCCGCTGCTTAGCACGAAGGAGGAGGGGCACGAGGAGGGGATGGGCACGAGGAGGGGAGGGGCACGAAGGAGGGGTGTCACGATACAGTAGGTACCTCTCAATAGTTCGCCCCCGTGCCAGGACCCAGAGATACGAACTATTGACAGAACGAACTATTATGCTCGCCTTTCTGGCACATGTCCATTTATTGCTTAGAATGCTCTGAAATGATTGTCTGCCGTGTTCTATTCCTTGTCTGCTTTCGGTAGGTCTCGAAAAAGACTCGTTTTGCCCGGCGAAGCCCTTCGCTGGCTGCAATAAGACCTGTCCTTTCTGCTAAAACCTCCACTCCCTCAAACAACGGTCGGGACCACAACCGTCTACACGAGTACACGTGTACACGTCTGAGAAGGCGTGACATGGTCCGAAAGGCGAACTATTGACCAAACGAACTATTCAACTGCGAACTATTGAGGAGCACCACTGTAGCCATAAATGGGAACACGTGTACACATGTAACACGATAGCCATGTCCCGACACCGTCCCTGCACGACGACGGTGTCCACTCTTAGGAGCCTGAGGGCTCCAGGCAACAATAAATGGGGTATCGTTCCTCGCACCGCAAGGGGAATGGCAGGGGAACAATGCCTGTGCGCCGTGAATGAGAAGATGGAAGCTCAAATTTATATAAATTGAAGTTTATGGTAAAATTGAAGAAATAAGGGAGGGTCTTAACTTGCCCGAGTTTGCCCGGGTTTGCTTGCCCGGAGCCATGATTTGCACTACTATTGGCTACTGGGCGTTAATATATGATTTGAAACTAAGTACGACCCTACACTGCAAGCTCAAGTTATGTCAGTGTGTAATGACAAATGTCAATCATATATTGGCTACTTTTGTAAGTTTGTAACTTTCGAATTTGGACGCTGTGCTCCGGTGGACGCAGTGCTTGCCCCTTGCCGAAAACATCCTCAACTCCCCCTTTGCAAAAATCTATGCACCTGCCATCTCGCAAAGGCAACCCAACTCTACGAAGCACCTCTCTGCCTACTACTTTCCTGAAAATGGCTTCCACACCTCAATGCCACGTGCGCCGTTCTCCGCGCCTCTGGCGCATCTCTCCGACTCCCACCATTCGGAAGACGGGGGCCACCAACGCAAAGTCTCTCACTATTGCTTCCTCGTCTGCAGCGGGCGTTTCTGACCAAATATTATCCCCCCTCCATACGGTATGTACGACTGAATTCTTTGTCGTTAAAAATTCTGTTGGCTCTGACAAAGGTCCATCCCCGTCGGAGATCTAAGGGCTTTGTGAATTTTCGGGGTCGAGGATAGTTTGAAATAGCTTGGTGAAATGAAAGGAGGGAGAATAGAGCTGCGGTTGCGGTTAGTGCGGTCGTAGCAGTGATGATTCTATTGCCGTGCATTGCGTAGGAGTGATTAGATTGAGAAGAAAGGAGGGGAGGCGAACGGCGATACTGGGCAGTGGTTGTAGATCCGTTTTTTGACCAAACAGCGCCGGCGATAGATACGCTATCCCGCGGAGTAGTAAGGAGAGAAGTAGGGGGTGAGATCAATTATTTATCCCGGTGATCTGGGATCACCCGCAATGGCCACGTTCTGGGTCGGAAGCGAGCGACGCTGCAGCGTCTCGCGTCCATGTCGACGCGTCCCTCGGGCGAAGTTGTTTGACGCTGCAGCATGTCACGTCCCTGTCGATGCGTCCTCGGAGCGAATTTGTAGAACCCACAGTGTCCTCCCCGTTGTGTTCTGGCAATTTATGGCGCTGTATGCCTCTGTAAGTCAGCACCGTCGCTCTGGGACACCTGTCCACTACTAACGTAAGGGGAAGGCGTGTACTTACATTAATAAATTAATAAATGACCGGCAAACTCGGGCAAGCAAAGCAAACCCGGGCAAGTTAAGACACACCCTAAGCTGGCCTCCTTTGCCACTATTCTTCTCACACGTGTGGACCTGTGCACGTGTACCCATCGCCTCTCAACATTGAGATGCACGCCCCACCTTGAGCGGGTCTGCAACGCTTCTGAACACACCCTTGATTCACTTACAAACTCTACATCTTTACTCGCTCGCAACTGGCGCATCTGACGGCCAGGTGCCTGCACGTTATTGCACAAGATGCAAGATATCGTAGTGAGCACAAGAGGGCACGATGACGGGAAGCAGGTCGGTAGTTCATACATACAAAGACATGGACTGCTACGTCTATCAAGCAAGCTTCTCAGGCAAGCATAACAAAACAGAAAAAACCCTCCCCACTACTACCGCGCGCAGTTGCAACGCATATTACTAATGTCTCGGGCGGCAAGCGTTTATCGCTTTTCGCAATTTACACCACTAGCTTCATGATAACAACCAAATGACCCGACCATCCGAATATGACCCCATGATCCTGGTCTATCTGCAAGTCTGCATCACCCTCCAACTGGACCAAGACAGTCTCAGACCCATCCTCTCGCCTTTGCACAATTTCTCGCTCCGTTGAAAATATTTGTGATGTTCGTCCTGCGCGAGAAGCAGTACCCATGTCTGCCGTCCTCAGGAACCGACTCGTGATTTCTTCCAAATCCTCTACCTGTTCCATCCCGTCATGAAGTCTGATCCCTCTCTCCACGTCCCACACATCCACGCCCCACATCTGCTCTTCATCGTACCACGTTACAGATGCCACACGTTTTCCGTCCCCACTCATCGCAACGCTAAACACACAATCCGTGGGTCCATCTAACGCGTCCCCGACTTGTGCTCCCGTCTCCACGTCCCACACCCGCACGCTGTCGTCAGACGATCCAGATACCACACGCCTTCCATCTGTACTCATCGCAACGCTAACCACCCTTCGCGTGTGTCCAACTAACGCGTCCCCGACTTGTGCTCCCGCCTCCACGTCCCACACCCGCACGCTCTCGTCCCAAGATCCAGATACCACACGTTTTCCGTCCCCACTCATCGCAACGCTAGACACATAATCCGTGTGTCCAACTAACGCATGCCCGACTTGTGCTCCCGTCTCCACGTCCCACACCCGCACGCTCTTGTCCTGGGAACCAGATACCACACGTCTTCCGTCCCCACTCATTGCTACGCCAGACACTTCTTCAACGTGTCCAACTAACGCGTCCCCGACTTGTGCTCCCGTCTCCATGTCCCACACCCGCATGCTCTTGTCCCGGGATCCAGATACCACACGTCTTCCGTCCCCACTCATCGCAACGCTAACCACACAATCCGTGTGTCCAACTAACGCATGCCCGACTTGTGCTCCCGTCTCCACGTCCCACACCCGCACGCTGTCGTCAGACGATCCAGATACTACACGTCTTCCGTCCCCGCTAATCGCAACGCTTAACACATACCACGTGTGACCAACTAACGCGTCCCCGACTTGTGCTCCCGTCTCCACGTCCCACACCCGCACGCTCTTGTCCTGGGAACCAGATACCACACGTCTTCCGTCCCCACTCATCGCAACGCTAGACACAGAACTCGTGTGTCCAACTAACGCATGCCCGACTTGTGCTCCCGTCTCCACGTCCCACACCCGCACGCCCTTGTCCTGGGAACCAGATACCACACGTCTTCCGTCCCCACTCATCGCAACGCAACTCACTTCCGACCTGTGACCGCGGAAACTTCTCAATACTTTCCTCTCCGACGTACTCCACAGCCTTAACGTCCCGTCTTCATATCCCACAACAACATACCCCTTCCTCTCACAGAAAGAAGCGCAGGTAGCTCTCGTCACGCTCCGTCTCTTTCCAGTCACTTGGGAGGTTACACTTCGTGCTTCAAGGTATGGTGTTGTGGGATATCTCTCCCACAGTGGGGTCACTTGGGAGGTTACACTTCGTGCTTCAAGGTACCCTGGGCTCTGGCTCTCCGTTTCGAACTCGCCTTCTAATCGAACCATCTTCGTCTCCTTCTCAGCAGATTGCGTGAAAACTGTTACTTCTCCCCTGGACGAGTCTATCAGACATCCATACACTTCACCCCTGGAATCTACGCCCACTTGAATGCCTTCGCAATTGTCAAACGGGAGGACAATCTGCTCCACTAACCTTCCATCGGCTCGCGCTACACACTCATTCACAGGCCGCACCCAAGGCCGAGGTGCGTATCTCTCAATTTCCTCCAGCATCTTTTGCACACAACCTGAATCCCGTGCCTTGTGCTTCACTCGCCCGTATAGTTGAAAGTAAATCCCAGCACTGCTTTCACCACAAAACGGTACACTCAGTCGCGCAGCTCGCATCATCAAAATCATTGCATCCACTGCATCCACTGCATCCTCATCTACACGTCCCCTTCCCACTTTCGAGCTCCCTCTTTTCCGCTTCAAGTCTCTACTCAATCCCTTCACAGCTTCCTCATATTGCCAAACCCCGCCTCTCTGTAGCACTGTCTTCACCCATCGCGCACTCAAAAATAGTCTCTTCAGCTCTTCTACACACCCACCCTGTCTCAGAACACGGTATATGTTCTCGAAAACATATTCCTCCCGTGCGCTCTCGCCCTCTCTGTCTCCGCCCTCACTCATTGCAAGCAACCCTCCTCCTGCCCTGCATACATCCGCCATCTTCTTACACCACTCTTCTACACCCTCTTCCTTCTTCGCTTCTTGCACCGCGAAATCGTGAGTCAGATCATGCACCCGTAACCCACCACAACCCTTCTCATACTGTATTTCTACTAATCCAACCCTTTCCATCTCCTTTGCACACCATTCCGTCCTCTCGTCGTCCAGCTCCCACAAATCTCCAACCAAACTCAAAGGTATCCGGTCTTGCTTCTTCATAACGCACAGACTCCGGTGCATCTTTCGAAACGAAAACTCACCAACCGCCTCCCCACTGCTCCCCACATTGGACTCCAGGATATCTAGTGACGTATGCAATGTCCCATCCAACGACGAATATCCGTCCTTCGGACTCTTCCCGCGAATCGTGTTACGACTCTTCATCATCGAAAGATACGCCCCCCATGCTTCTGATACTTCTCCCTCCCATCTTTCCCTCATGTACCTCACACTCGTTCCCGCCACGTTCAGCGCAAGCGGCAATCCGCCACACATTTCCAGTATTTCACCCACGGCCTCTTTGCATCTCGCATCATCCACTTCCTCTCGATTCGCCTCACTCGCGTGCACAAGCATGTCAATTGCTTCTTTCCCTACCTTCTCCCTCGACTCGAAAGCAACCCGCTCCCCGATCTGACACAGCTCCCTATCCCTCGTGGAGTACAGTAGTCTGCTCCTCCTTTCCCCGCTGCCCCCTGCAGTATCAGCCAGAACAGACAACTTTTGAAGGATATTCGCGTCTATATCATTCATCACCCACACATCATCAATGATAAACAGACACACATGACTACAAAACCATGCGTGTACCTTCGCTAACACCCTTTCAAACTCGCTCTGCTCTCGCATTTCCGCAGCCGTCTGGATGCCACCGGACGCTTCCACAATCACACACAGTTCTTCAATCAGCCGTCCCACGTTTCCGTCTTTCCCCAACGACATGAAGTACACTCCTCCCGAAAACTCTGCCTTAATCTCAACGTCGTGTGCGATCGCTCGTAGAGCGCATGTCTTCCCGACTCCGCCCTGCCCCACTGCTGTCGCACCCACTTGCTCGTTCCTATCTCTCTGTAGCACAGCCGCTTTTAGACGCGACTCACACGTGTTCGGTAATCCATCGTTCCCCTGAGAATCAAGCTTCACATATATCGACGAGGCATTACGTTCGGCTCTTATCAACGCCCTGAACACATCACCCGTTCCTCCCCTGATCGACTTGACGGCCGCGCTTACCTGTTGAATACGATCGTGAAGGCGGTCCGCTTCTTGCTCGACTGCTGCGCGAGTATCGATGCTCGTGCTTGCTCGTAGAATACGATCGTGAAGGCGGTCCGCTTCTTCCCTGCGTGTCTCTAGGACTTCCTTATCTCTCATTGCGGAGCTCATTGCAGAGGCGAACGCACGGAGTCTCTTTTTTGGGTGCTTGCGCTTCTCTGGTACTTTTCTATCTCCCACTGCAGAGGCGAACGCACCGAGTCTCGCTTTTGGGTTGTCCGACTCTTTCCGCAGCTCATCGAAGAACTTCAATATGTAGCTATAGAGGCCCTCGATTTCACGTTGGAGCAAGTCCGTGTGCTGCGACGAAGTTCCATGGATCGGCATGTCTTTCAGCTTGGTGATGTCCGCATACAAGGTGGTGTAGGCGGTGACAATTTCGGTAGAGAGCGTTTTGTTTTCCTTGTAGGCTTTGTGTCGTTCGATGAGACTTACGATGAGGCAGACGACTTGCTCAACGAGGCCGGTGAGGCCCAAGATACTGTACGGATCAGCCATGGTGTTTGGGATTAGGGCGTGTTGTTCTGATTTGAATTGGCGGCGGTGGCAAAGCGGCGCTAGCTGCTCTCTATGTCTCCCTCTCTCGGAATCTTTCTTTCTCTTGTCGTTGCCAGTCGTTGGTAGTCGTTGTGTTTCGTTCTTGGTCGTCTCGCAGAGGGGGCGGGAAAGGTATGCTTCCACATTTCGCGTTGCGAATAAGTGCAGCGCATTCAGTGGCCCACAGCTGTTTTACGGTAAGTGCCCGCTTGACAGTGAGTTTTGGAGTGATTTCCTACGGTCGTCAAAGGAGAGGGCGGCGGTTGTGCGGATTGTCGCTGCGGTGTTGGCACATCGTGAGTTTAGTAAGGCTGCTCTCGCGACGCACAAACAAGACTTTTACGTCAGCAGTGGGAGCTCCAAGGGAATCCAGGGAGGCGTATGATGCAGTATGATGCAGTGCTGTACTCCAGGGGCTTGTGCATCGGTATTACAGTTATGTACTTTACTGTATTGCAACGAAAGCCGTACCCTTCCCCTGGTACCCTTCGAAGGGTACCGCAGGACGATACGACTACAGTACCCTCGCGGAGGGCACGTACGGTATCCTGCCTTAACGTTCCCCCAAAGTGGAGTCATGTGCCGAGTGGGCAGCTGGACTTGCTGGACACCGTCACAGCGTGAACCGGTCTGTGAGCTTGGATGGACAAGACAGAAAGCTCGCCCACATGCAAAGTGACGCGCGACTGTCTCAAGTCATACAGTGCCGTGCCGCTGGCAGAGACGGCGTACAAGTAGGTCGCTGAGAGACCCTAACGGAGGGGCGGCCGAGCAATGAAGCACGGATGCGGACGTGTCCCCCCCGCTCCAGGCACATGACACCAGACACATCCTCCTTCTAACCTAGCTCCCCATCCCTCGCCGCGATGGCATCCCTGTCGCCCGTCCTTCACAGCAAGTGCACTCCCACTGTGCTTCTGGCGCTATGCAATGGCGTCATCTGCCTCTGCATTGCAAGCCATACGGGGCCGGGTGGGCGGCGTGGCTCGCCGGGGGCTCGGATGTATGCGGGGACAGGGCCCGCCGCTGCGGGGGACAGATGTGGGACTTCGTCCCAGAAAAACAAAGGAAATAAATTAAACATTTCGGTGCTGTGCTGTAATGATTGTTAATGAACTGTGCAATGGTAAAACTGGGGGTGGGTGAAGGGAGGAATGCCGATTTTGTATTTATACGAAGAGGCAGGCAGGCGTGCAGAGTCATGATTCACCCACACCTCACGTGTACACCAAGTACACGAGTGCCAGAGATCACACCCTCTTGCAGTTTCGATCCTTCGCCATCTCCTTCACATGTTCACGGAC